CATTGTAAAAAAAACTTCTCAGCTTCGCATCGAATTAAAAAAAAAAAAATACTCTGGTAGTTAATATATTTTTAATTTGATTATTTGATGTTCAATTAAGTTATGGAAAAATACCTAAACTTACGGAGATGAGAAAATTGAGTTGGAAATCTTTACATTTGAATAACTAGACTTGAAGCAAGATAGAATAAATTAATAAAATAATAAGTTAATTTTTACTTTAATGTTACTTGATTATTTACATTTTATTTACCTTAACTATAATTAGTATGAAATATTTACTATAAGGTAGAAATGATTATCTAATTTTGAGCAGGCCAAAACATTAATAAAAATAGAAATGGATCAAGTGCGAACACGTTGAAGTTACTTTTTAGTTATACGTAGGTAGAATTCACAGACTTTTTAAATAATATTATCTATTAGAAATTGGATATTATCTAATTAGTAAATTTAATTAAATATACTCAACTCGTAATATAACTTGTAAGATCAAAAACATTTGGCTCATTTAATCTACTAAACTGCCTCGATTTACACATAGATTTAGACAATACATTACAGTAGTCAGTTTAGTAAAAGTCGAACAATCACTGTGAACTATTGTTTTTTTTTTCTGGGAATGCACGATTTTTGTAATAAGTATGAACACATTTAATTTATTTCTTATGAAAACGCGCAAAAATATCGAATAAGTCGTGACTCGCACTTCGTCATCTTATTGTTTTGCGCTGCTAATGGACTTGTCGTTGCTTTTTAAATTTATGTTTTCATTTTTTTTTTCTAAATGACAAGTGTACACTGTCATTAGGTAATCGTTTTATTAGAGGCGGTATCTGGCGAATGAGTAGGACAATCACGGTGACAAACAAGTAACAACAGTTCTCTTCACTCGTTAAGAGGACAACCCAAAGTGCATTGTTGCAAAACTTAATATAACTATTTTTAATTTCCAGAGCGAAATCACAAGTAGTAGTTTGAAAGTTACTGATAACGTTTAACAAAATATGTTCTTTAACCAACAAAATACAACCCTTACATCATGTTGGTATTCGTTTAAAATATAGTCTTTTGACTTATTAATTAACCACTTTAACCAACTCACAGTAATAGGGGCTAGACTAAGGCGACCAGCAATTTCGTTAGTAGACAAATTAAGTATTAACCATGTCTTGTATATAAATGTAAATGTTCAAGAAAATATACAAATCGCAACTAGAATTAAGTAAAATTATGAGTCCGTCTCGCGTAGAGACAAACGGGATTTTTATAACTCCGCAATTGTTTGTAGAAGATGCTAATAAACGATGCTGTCTGTTAGGTTAGCGATTACTTGGGGGAAAAAAAAGCATTAACCATATCCATTTTATATCTGAATGTATGAATAAAGTGTTTTTGTATTTTAGCCAACTTATTAATCAGTTTGACTGAATCACGGACCTAAACTCTAACCTTCGATCTTACACTTCGACTGTTGTACAATAAAATGCTACAAGACATTTAGAATCATTAAACTCGCTTAAGTTCTCTTCAAAAATCCTAACATTCTCAAAGCTTTGTTATAATATAGAAGTTATGTGAATATTAAAACTCAAGTCCTTTGAAAAGAGCACACCCAAGTCTCTAGTCTCATCAGTTTCAGGCACCTATTCATCGTTTATTTTATAGGTAATTTTTAATTAGAGTCAACTAAGTTGTGCTTAATACAGACGAATCAAATTGTATTTTAATGATGCCATCCAGAGGGTAAACTACTCTTGGAAATCAGTGTAAAAATATTTAGAAATCTTGGAAATCTGAAAGTTAACGCTCTGTTGTAATTTTTTTTTAGATAAAGCAGATGAATAGACTTTTAAATCATCGGCCGAGAGAAAACTGTAAGTAACTTTAACTCTATAACTAGTTATGCGAAAAACTTTCTGATGTGATAGTACCAATTTTTTACAATTATTTGAGTACGACCAGACAAACAACTACGGAACCAGGACAAAAAAGCGTCTGTAAAACCCATTTTTTGAAGTTTGTCAATAATTAAGAAGCCGTGGTCAACCGATGTAATGTAGTGTGATATGACAAGCCGTTACTTACGGCGTATAGTCAATTATTTTAGCAATTTAACAGACTACAGACACCGACCAAGACTGACGCGGGCGTCGATCAATAAAAAAATACATATTATACTTATGTATATACTATATATATACGTATATAGTACGTATATATATATATATTTTTTTCGTTTTCCACGTATTATTTCTAAATTGACGTTTTGTCCGGTTTACGCGTTGCGCATTAAATCGTTAAAATTTATATATATATATAAATATATATGTATATATGTTTTTTTTTTATCTAAAAGACTTACACACATACATATTTGATGCGTACGCCAGCTATATATACCTTAGCGTAAGGTTTAGACACGCACGCACGCTCACACATATATATATAGGTATATCTATATGAACATATGTGTGTGTGTGTGTATATTATTTTTCTTTCTTTCTTATTCTTTACTATATTTTTATTATTATTATTATTTTTCTTTTTTACAATAACATAGCGCAAGCCGAGTCCCTGCGTGATTATAGGTTAGCGCTGGCGGCGGCGGCGGCTGCGGGCTAACTTTGTACACGAACGTCGCCACGGCCGATTCGGATAAAAAAATAAATAAAAAAACAACGGTCTGTGTGTGTGTGCCGAGACTACTATACGAACCAGAGGCGGCGACCGTGTATAGCAGTCAGCAGAGTATGAGGAGACTGTGGCGACGGTCAGACGGTCGTTCGACGCCGTTTGGTAGGTGGAACGATCTCGGTTTGGGCGGTGGCGACGGCGGTGTACCAAACACAAGGTATACATAAGTGTATATGTATGGATTTACTATACATACATATACATATATATATATGTATATATGTATATACACGGATTAAGGTATATATGTACACGACCGGGTACGGTATACGTGAGACGGTGTGTGCTCGCAGAGAAAACGCCTTAGGGCCAAACACGCCTTTTCTCCTTCGTGAGCGGCTATACTTGTACCTACATATATATATATATATATATATATATATATATGTACATCATATATTACATACATTAGGTACTTGCGGTCTAGGTGATATAACTGCGCGCGCGAAGACCGGCGTCGAAGGGGAGGAGAAGGAGGAGATACAAAAAAAAAAAAAAAGAAAAGAAGAAGAACTCTATCCTACACTATCGTGCGGCGTACCGCGGTATACCTCTACCTGTAGGTATATGTAAAGAGAACTGGCCGCGGACGGAAACCGGCTGTGTGTACGTCGAATTCACATGCACACACGCACACAAGCAGTCACATTTGAAAAAGAAAAGGTTTACCGAAAAACAAGCGCGCTTACACTACATTATATATACCCACACACGATAATTATACCTCGGCTTTATCGAACCCTGTGCTGCAACCGATGTTCCACAAGCATCCTCCCCCTGCTGTTGCCCGCGTGCACTAACTCATGCCGAGTGTGTGTATTCGACCCAGGAAACTGCAGAGACAGCGCCGATTAAAAGGAATAACCGGACATATAAAGAGAGTCTAGTCTAATACAAGGCGTTCGGTTGGGTCCGTCTAGAAAAAAAAAACACATACAATCCTTTTACAAGTCAACGCAGTGCAACATGTAAATAAGCAGTTAGCGCGATGGGGCCAAACCGACCGCCGCGTCGCACCCGGTAGGAGGTACCTATTAGTTAATTTCAAAGTAATTAAATCATTGGTTTTGACATAATAATACCTACATTATCATGCACTATCCCGTTCTCTTATATTTTTCCTCGTTTCGTCCAACCCTTAAATAATCATAACCATTAACCCCGGTTTCCCCTCTTTGCTTTCGACAAAGATTACAATTTTCTAATAAATCCCTTTGTATTAGGTACGTGGGCCAGAGGTCAACTGAGTAAGAAACCTAACCTGGAATTAACAAGGCCTGTTGAGTGAAATTTGTATTTTGCAATGCTTAAACAATCATTGTAGTCATTGTATACCATTTTTACTGAAGCCATTGACATTTTCCTCAACATTTTTATTTTTCCATACATGGACAGGAAAAAAAGCAATAGGTAATCGACATTTTATTTTCCTTAGAATTGTTTTTTGAACACCCTATTACAGATTTTCAAGATTATTAAGCAAAAAATTGCACGATTATTCCAGAGAACATTTATGACATAAATTGTATAAAAATACATTTTCGGTAAAATACAATTTTTAAAAAATTGTATTTAAAAAAAATGTATTATTTACTAAATTTAGTTCTCGAGTAATTAAGTGTTTTTAAATGTTACTATGTTGTTGAAATCAGATTAATTCCGGTGTTATCAATAATACAGTACTGTGAGGACTGAGATTGCATATTTAAAAATGTTCTGTGCTATGAGAGTTAAATAAACAAAATGTCTATACTAAACACTCAGCTACAAATGTCTTCTAAAATCATCTGACATTTGGATCATTGACACCATTTTTTTGTATTAAAATCAAAACTTGTATAAGCTAAAATAACAATATAAGATATTATTGTCAGCTGGGCATTACTTGGATGACAGAGAAGACTAATCATAGGCAGCGAGAACTGAAGACAACAGAGCCACCAGCCCAAGTGTTATAATTGTTATTATTACTACTAAACCGTATTGCGACTACAGTTTATTTTAACCACAGCACTAGTACGTTTTTTGAAAAAAACAACAATTGTAGTTATTATTTTATTGTATGTGTACCTCACTTTAACCAGGCTATGATTTACTGCAGAGGTTGTTGATAGAGAGAGAGAGAGAGCGACCGAATACACTAGAATCAGAATCATGTTAATTTAACGTGACTAATAAAATTACAATTACAACAAATACAGGCTAAGTAAAAAATTTAAAAGATAACAATGCCGATTTTTATTACTAAATAATCTTAATAACATTTAGTTTATAACTAACAAAAATATTAACTATAAGTACAAACAAAATTATTAAAATATAGCGCCTTGTTAAAGAAACATGCAATTTCTCTAGTAAATTGGTTTTAAAATAACAAAAATGATTAACAATAATCATAATATTATTATTATTGTTATTTATATACCAAACTGATTTTTACACAAAAATTGTAGTTACTCGTTCATAAGTAATGACAATAAAATTATAAATTCACTCTTCTTTATAGTCGCTTTGTTATACGCCAACATCGGCGTTGACAAAAAACAACAACGACAGGTAAACAAAACAATAATAATTAATGATTTTCAATCTACTTATTTAGGACTTTACTGAGCAAAGGAGCAGAAAGCTTAACACCATTTGGTATATTCCTAGCGATGTCTTGCAAGTTCACGCTTTTCATTAGGTTCTTTTCACGAGTCGTCGCCGATTTGTCTTTCAGAAACAGATTGACACAGGTTTTCGATGCTTTGCCACGTTTAGTGTTGCCCGGGGTCAATTTTAACTTGTACCTGTTTTTCAGCAAATAACAATAAATTGTTTGACATTAAATGATCAACAATAAACAATAAAAAGTATATTTACTTATAATTTGTGAGAGCGCTGTAAGGAGCTACAACGGGTACGGCAAAGAGTAACTCGTCCTCTGGTAAAGGAATGCCGGTTAACGAATCCAACATCTGTGTTTCTGCTGGATCGGTCAATTTATTGTCTTCATCATCTTCCGAGTTGTCATTGCAATCGGTTTCTTTTGGAGGTTTTTCTTGCGTTTGTATCTTGGCAGGTTCTGCTAATACAGGATTGAAAATGGGCTGTACTTTTATCGATTTAATACCAGCAGCTTTGTTCTTCAAATTGTTGGATTTTTTTATTTTCTTGTCCTTTTTTTTGGTGCGTTTCAGTTTTTTGTCTTCATTCATAGTTGACTAAAAAACAACCATTGCAGAGTAAAAAATACAACAAAAAAAAATATCATCTTAGCTTTACATTGAAGCTAAAACACAACTAAGGGGTTTGAAAGCGGATGGGATTTACGTAGTTTTATATAGGCAATATTTAAGAAAAAGAAGGGTTTTTAATCAATTTCGACCATGTCAATTTATTTGTACATGCTTCAAGGTATTTTTTTAAACCTATATAATTGTTTCAACCAGTAAACGCCTTTTTGGTGGTATTTTAGATCTAAAAACCTGACAAAATTACGCCTACTTAGGTTAGTCTGATCTCAATTTTGTAAAAAATGTATACTTCATAGGCTACTTTACTAGGTTATGTAGGAAACTGATTGTCATTTAAAGAATTCAGATTCTTGTAATAAAATAAATTAAATTTGAACATTTTTCATTATCAAAAAACAATGTTTTACATTAAAAAAGCAAAAATTCAAAAATCCGTTTCCTACATAACCTAGTAAAATAGCCAAAAAACTCGTATGTGTCTACAGAATTAAAATAGGACTATCCTAAGTAGTCGACATTTTGTCAGGTTTTTTGGTTTAAAACGTCAAAAGAACGGACCGCTTTCAATCCTCTTAATCAAATTCCCATTATCACTACGATTTGTTACATTTTATATGTGAAATATAATAAACAATAATATAACATAATAACATGATTCTATTTACATGCAACAGTTTAATTCTGAGTTCCCTTTCGTCCTCATCTTGGTCCTTGTATTTTTCTTTAATTTTTTTTAGTTTTCCTCGTTGTCCACGTTTGAGTACTTGTGGAATAGTTTTTTCAATTTTGTTCTTAGAATCTTAAACAAACAACAAAGAAATTGACTGCCGTTCCGTTGTTCGTTTTCAATTAATGTTGTCAATGACGATACTAAGTAACTTTATTCCACAAAGGATAAGAAAATTAATATACACACTTTCATTAATATCCGATTGATTTGTTGCAACAGGCTCATCATTGGTTTCGGATTCTGCAGTATCATCGGGTTTTTCATCCGACTCGCTTTCAGACTCATTATTTTCTTCAATACAGTTTGAAGCATCAACGTTTCCAATACTTGGAACCCTAAAAAAAAAAAATGAATATGGGAATGATTACATAAACGTGCTACGACATTTAAGAGTAAATTCAAATTATTCCAATAGTTTAACTTTACGTTATGTTATCCGACAGTTCATCTTCATCGTCCCCTTGAACAGCACTGGAATTATTCTCGTTTAGTATTTCTATGCTTTTTTCTACATCTAAAATACAGAAAATAAAACATCAGTAGTACATCAATAAGAGTGATGCATATTAACATTACTTTTTTCACATTCTTCATCGCTCGATACATTTTCAAGTTCTTCTGTATTTTCTTCAATTGTATTTAAGCTGTCAAAATCTTGGCCTTTGACTTTACGTTCGTTGGCGTGCCTAATTAAAATGAAAAGTAACGATGATATTCGTCTTGATTGAACAGAAAATAATATACCTAGACACAGAACTGTCTTCTAATTTGAAAAGAAAACTCAATCCCAATATGAGTTGAGTCGCTGGCAGGTAATTCTTTTTTCCTCGAACCATAAAACTACCCGTAGTTAAGTACTCTCCCGTAGGAGCAGTTTTAGTTACTTGTTCTGGTTTTACCCAATATGCATTTTGAATGTTTATTTTCATCGACCAAGAAACACTGAAAATCATTATAATTTGACAATTATTATTATAAACCGATTTGTAAAATATCTTTTAATTGAACAATTTGATACACTTTTAGATAAACAAAAAAATATATTACAAATTACCTGTAAGATATGGCCATTATAGCAGCTTCATTGAGCGTTGCAGGAGGAACAGGCTGGCTAGTGGGGTTCTTGATAACAACTGTTGTAGCACCACTAAAGCCAGCGTGGACGTACACATCAGAAGCCTTCATATATCTTTTCACTATAACTTCATTTTGATGTGAATCACGACCCGCGATGACTGGAATAAAAATATTATTAGTATTAGTTATAAAGTAAATTACTTTGTTTTTTATTATTTATTTAACTTGACAAGAGCCACAACTTTTATAACAATAAACTCAAATTAATAGTTAAAAAAAAAACAAAAAAATTTTAACTACATTTTATTATTTGTCTAAAAAAAAGTATTAATTTGATTTTATCGAAGTAGATAAAATCAAATTAATACTTTTTTTTTTTTTACCTAAATAGTTCTCAGAAGATATAAACCAGTAGAATTTTTCAAACCAATACGTCTTACGAACTTTGTTTATGGACGCTACGACTTGCATGTCTTTTAAAGTTTGCTTTGTCTTGCGTTCGGCCATCTTCAGAACTGTACTAGACGAATCGATAGTTTTCTTTTCTTTGGAAGCAGATTGTTTTTTAGATCCATAGTATCTATGAATGTAAAACACAAAATTTGTTAATCATTTAAACACATCAACATTAATTACGAGCGTTTTTAATTTTAGTTAAGAAATCACCTTTGAGCATTTCCATAAGCAGATTGTCCTAAATCTATATCCATCAATTTTGAATTTGTGTCGCCATCTTCATCGTAAGGATCGCTAAAAATAATAATGAAATTATAATGTTTGTATATTAAGCTAATTTCAATAGACACCCCTGAGCAAACTTTTTTTTAAAAACAAATTGTCGACTCGAAATTACTATTTAATTACTTACATAAGTTCAAGTGTTATGTGGTTGACATTTAATTTTAGCTGTTTAACTATCGCGTAAGTCTTGCCACCATCTTCAAAATTGATTTGTTGTAACATTTCCCAAATCTCATCCCATTGCAGCTGTTTTGCTAAAGCTTGTCTCACAAACATAATAGTATTATCAACAATGTCTAAATTGTTGGTAATCAATTCAGCTTTAATTTTATCTTCGTTTTGAGCTTCTTGAAGCTTTTTAGTCGTTCTTCGTGGTCTTTGACTATGTTTTGTAATTTTTTCACAGCTCCTTTTTCCTGAAAAAAAAAACCAACAAATAAACTAACATTTACAACTGTTTTAATATAAATAAAAACAACAACTTTTTTTTTGTCTGTTTTTCTAACAAATTGTTTACAAAATCTACTAACTTGTTGCATGCATCTCACGTCGTACTTCTGACTTTCCATATTTGAGTAAAATTCGTCCACAGATTCATTGAAACTCTCATAGGTTTTGGATGGTACATTTTGGTATTGAGCAAATAAAAATGGATGGTATTCTTGATTCGTACACAGTTCTTTTTTGGTACCGTCTGGTAATTCTTGTTGATCAATTTTTTGTATGATAAAACCCTTAACATAAAATACACACGTTCAAATTAATCTAACCCTACCATTTCTATTTGATTTAAAAAAAAAAAAAAAGTTATTAACTCTAGTTGTATTATTGTAAGTAAGATTTTGAAAGTATTGTATTTTTACAATAGGTTTCAACTTACTCCTTTCAATAAAGCTACTTCATCTAGAAACGTTTCAGCTAAAGCAAAGCACTTCAATAATTTTTTAATATCCGTGTCAATATTGAAATCAACACCAATTTTGGCATTAGACGGAAACCCACCCTGAATCAACATATGTTCAACCAAACAATTGCCGTAATCTGAAAAAATGTATTAAATTCATTAAAAAGTAGAGTCAATATTGTTGTTATTTGTTTACAAACCTAAGCAGTTTGGGAAATTCGAAAAAATGAATTTCTTTAAATTTGTACCATTCTTGGCAGTTTTGAAAACATCAACAATATCGGATTCAGTTGGCGGGTCAAGTCGACTTTTAGGCCTATCATTTGGATAAACTTCTTTGACGAAAAACCTAAAATTAATAAATAATATGTATATATATATACACGTTTTACCTTGTTTAATGACATTATTAAGTTGTACTTTTGCTTTTCGTCTTCATTATGTGGTCGTAATATATTAATCATAATGTAATCTTTATCTGCTAAAATTATATTTCCTTTGTCGTATAATTCTAGAATAACATGATAAGCAGCTTCTCCGACACCAAACTGAAGATCAATAATTCTATCAAATCCCAATTGGGACAAATTTTCAAGACGCTTATTCGTTAGATGCTTCCTTAACTGAAATTAGCATAAGGTATGTTAAAAATTGTTAAAAAATACTCTGAACATATCTATTCTATAATATTGGTCTACAAATAATATAATAGTTAGTTTGGCTACAGTAATAAGTATCTAAAGAAATTAATACTATCATTTAGGAAGTAATGTAATTTTATTTATGGTAAAAGAAATTGTAGGTAATTTACACTCAGTTAAATATTGCTTAGAGATTAGTATAAGATACAACAAATATAATGCAATACCTTCATACTAAAACTGCTCGGAGCATCGTTTTTAGTCCAATCATAGTTAGTAGCATGCAAGCGAATTCCCGATTCCAATAACAAAACACACTTTTCGTTGTTAAGTTGAAATTTAAATAAATATGTTTTGTGGTCAATGTCATAAACTCTTTGGAGTCTCATTCCTTTATATCTGAAAGCAAAATAAAAATAATTATATTTCTACAATATCCAGATATGCAGGAGAGCGTTTATTGTAAAGTGTTTTCATTACTTTCAGTTAAAATAATTCCTGTAGACATACGAACCTCCCTGCCCTAATATATCCCCGATCACACTGTACAGGCATTTTTAAAATACAATTTTGTATTACTTTATTACTATTCATAATCAAAATAATATATTCATTAGAAGAGACAAAGTAGTTAAACTCTTGAATGTATGGAGTCCGTAATTTTCAGAGTTCAGATTCAAAATATACAGACAATTTTTACATTGATAATGTTTTTTTTTTCTTTTATTAATATAGAAATATCGTTAAAGAAGATATTATAGAATTTTAATTTATAACTGTACCCATCAATATGTACACTTTTAATATAACGCAATGAAACATTTTGTTTGAGTATAATATATACTAACTAAATTTAAATTACGTATGTATAATTTAATATATTAGTTTATCCTATAAAAACTACTACCTACACTTTTTGGAAAGTTGCATTATATATGTTATTTTAATAAAATAAGCATGAAATACGTAAAAATGTTGGATCATAACATGTGTAAATCACGTTAACGTAAATCATATAATACACTTGTATTTTTAATAACAATATTTACGATGCTTTTAATGGGTTTAACATATTTTAAAAATTAAGACTCTGACAATAAGACCGGTCGGTTGTATTAACGTAACAGTTAACACACAGTTGACGATACTCACTTTTGCAACTCGTTGACTACGCACATGACGTCCAAAGTAGAATATCGACTTTTCATTGTGCTTGTTTGTCCGGTAAGTTTGCGCAAAAAGACAATTCCAGTCTTATGGCTTATTCAAGCAACCGTATTGTACCGGGGCAGTTTGCCTCGTCTGTCGCGTTGAAAACGACAAATTTTAATTGCGTTGAAGTAGCACGAACAAATTGAAAATTTTATATCAGCAATAAGGTTTCAAAACAATAAATAGTAACAGAAATTCGGCACGTGTACGTCGACGGTCTCGAGTAAACCATTTGTTTTTGTAATTGTTATCAGTAAAATGTCCATTGTGGGCGATAACATCGTATCGCTTGTTTGTTAATATTGTGTGACGCGGTGGAGGTATTGACCGTATGGAGGTAATTTTTTATCAGCTGCATTGACATGACATTCTTCAACCTTCATGATAAGCCTTGAATCTAGATTTGCTTAAAAACATGGCTAATTAACCATGTCTTATACCCATAGACCTATAAAGATTCGGACCTCTCTCTCTACTATCAGTCCATTTCTTTATAGGTCTATGCTTATACCACTGCAAGCTACAAAGTACAAACCCATTCGAATTAGCATACAAACAGTATGCTAACAGTAAAAATTGTATTGTTATATGTAAAACGGTACTATTTAGACTTTAATTTGTACCCACCTAATGTATTATTTATTTGTACAATATTTTTTTGTACGTCCAATTTTACTAATATCATAATCTCAAAGGTTATATATCGATTAATAATACACCAAAAATTATACAGACAAATGTAGATGTCAATTTATCAAATATTGATTTACTTCTTTCACCCTTACTGTTACTATAGGAAAAACCGTGAATGGTATGGACATGCGGATACAATACAATTGGCACGTTTGAACTTCGCTGTTTCGATCCTATCATAGCGTCGATTAGTATGTTGGTAGCATAAACAAGAATACAAACCGCCGCAGAAATTTACGCCGGTACTTGATAAGTGTTTGACTTTTTATTTTTGCGGATTATGTACAATAATCACTTTTTTTTCTGGAATTACCTATAGTTCATCTATTACAGTCTAACTCTCGGCCGCGAAAACAATATGTCAGTCAGCCTTTTTCGGCTGCTCATAAGAACCAATGTAATTTTTTTAAAGTTTCCCTTCTGGTTATTCTGTGGTATCACTGTAAACAGCTGACGGGATAGAGGAATCGACGCTATGATGCACCGTAACAGCGAAATTCAAACGTGTCAATTGTAACCCCTATGTCCATACCATCCCCGGTCTCTGTGCCACATGCCGTCTAAATAAGTCAATATATAATTATTTCGAATTGGTAGCAAAAAGAGTTTACTTCTACTTAGGAAAAACTAGTGTTCGCTAAAACCGAAATGGTAGTCGCGGGCTTCGCGTACAATAATATAGAGTCAATACAAATGTGCAAATGTATTGAAGAAATGAAATTGTGATGGAATTTTACTACATAAATCCTTCAATCCATACGATCTAGGGAAAACTAAATTATTGCGCAATAATATTATGTTCTCTCGCCGGACAAAGTATATAATTTTGACGAAAACACAAATAATAACACTTGTGAATAGCTGTTTTGTACTTAACACATGCGACAAAACCTCATGTGAAACTTTTTGAAACAATGGCCCTAGGCCCTAAATCGCATCCACTACGTGCGGCAAACGGTCTAAAAACAGCAAAGGCGGTATCAGGAGCTCATTCGGCGGCGCGGCGTTCCCGTAACGACACGATACAACCAAGCCGGCACCGACGATTTCGCATGGGCTCCTGGTCGCATTTCCACCGCTTTCGGTTAGCGCCTTCGAAAACTGATGCTCGTTCAAAACTTATTCGGCGACGCTGTTTCTCTGGAGCGACGCCGAGCCGTTAAACAAGCAAAATAATTACCAGGAATTTATGTGCACCGAGCGGCCCATCGTGCTTCCCGCTCAAAGGTCGCCAACGACGGCGGTAACTGCGATCAGACTTATTGGACCCTGGTAGCATTTTGGCCTAGATCGGGTCTGAAACGCCTTTTGTCGCGAGACCGCATGGCCCCGTCGTGTCTGCGAACGGACTTGCAAATGACTCAATACAGTCGAAACGATGGCAAAAACTCTGCACGTTTTCAAAAAACTAGTACTGCCCATGTGTATAGTAAGGTAAGCTCTGTAATCTGTACTGTCCATACGGACGACTAATATGGCAAAAGGATCAAGAGGACTTAAGTCGGACCGGGCAAATTATGCTTTTTATAGGCACCTTAACTAAAGACATAACATTACCCTATGGTCTTTATAGGTCTATACCTATAAGGAAATGGACAGAGCCTCCCACACGGCTGTCACTGCGCCATCACCGCCGCAGAGTCCACATCGATGGAAAGAGACAGAGAGAAAGGCTGGGAATCCCATGGAATACAAATTGAAAGGACAAGGAATAATACATTTTAATAATTTAGCGGTTAGGTTTAAATTTGAATGGTTAAAATATGTATTATCAAGTAAATAACTACTTACTACCTTATGTCTAAAAATAATGGTACATTAATTATTAATAGAACATATTGTGTAAGTATATATATATTAATGTATATGGTGGTAATTTATCTGGGAACAAGCAGCACAATTTAAATCGTTTAGTATAAGTATAGTGATACTATAATACAAATTGTATTAATATGCTGTATAATGCGCAGGTAAATCAATTTCGACCCGTAGGACAAATCATGATTGTTATACTATTGTTTTCTATAAATAACACTGTATATATTTATTTAATTTTTAATACGAACATGTTGTAACGAGCCGTCCATTCGCAATACAGAATAGTACTTTATCATGTAGGCAATGACGGTCGCGTTAAAGAACAGTACAGTGAACAGTGACATAATCACGGTAAGTACCGGATGTCCGTTAAACACGTTCCTGCCAAGTACGAACACATTGAAGAACTCGTGGCTTCCGGTGATTCTCACCTCGGCCGAGTACATCCATGCGCCTATTCCCAACAGTGCAAAGTACACGGGAACCACCACGATACGGCCTCCGAGAACGGTCAACATGTCGCCGACGGTGGACGCGCTGCCCGTGTAAACTGACAACCGGAACACCCGGAGCAGCGCCATTGCCAACGTGACCGACGCCAAGTGTAGCACGTAGAAGTGCATCCAACACACTTCGACCATCTTGTTCTCGAACGCGGTCTCTGTCAATTTCCCGTATTCTTTCGTGGACACTTCCATCAGACTCCAGCGCAACGCCAAAGCGAACACCATGATGATGGTGAACGTGGTTAATACAATATCGTATATCGTCCAGAAGTCGCTTAACGCAGCGGTGCCGTTGTGCGTGAGATCTTCGGTAACGGAATTCAGCAGACGCATCGTAAGGTACATGAAACATAGCATGAACACCAACGTAAACACGTAAGTATTCCAGTAGACGAACACAGAGGTCAGTGGCACCGTCAATACCTGTGTTGGAACAGTGAGATATCATCAAGTTCACACGTGAATTTTTTTCCGAGTACAGTAATAGGTGTGTTAACTTAGTTGTAACTTATATCTCAAATTCAAAAATAGTGTGGTTTTGTAGTGGATTAGACATAGATTTCAGATCAACAGGTTGCACAATAAAATTAGAGCTAATTGATGCTCGGTATACGATAAATTATTTAAAATTTTTATCTTGGGTCACCTTATCAAAGCTTGTTGTACAATCTTTGATCTCATGACCGAAATCAGAGAAGACACACAAATGAACTGACCTGATAATTTACACATATCCCTAGAATCTTTACAAACAACAATTTTGTACACTTTAAAGTATTCCTACGCTTATTACCACGTGAGGTTCGATTTATATCAGTATGTTGTAACTTATGCTATATGACGTATAGATATTATGCAAACCGTTAAGGATGTTTTGAACAACAATTCCGCAGAGGTTTGAAACGATAAGATAAACATAGTTATGAAGTCGGCATTAGGCGTGTAAACTTGAAACTCGATGTCTATACTTTGAGTTCTGTCGTCCAGCCAATTGTTGCCTAGATGTTCGTCCAGTTTCTTTTTCCACGAACTAAGTCCGCCGGTTAATTCCAAAACGTATCCCGAATGGTCAACGTTTAAAAAAGTAAGATGGGACTTCAGCGACCTGAATTGCCAGGCCGATTCCGGTCGTTTGTAAGTCGTTCTCACCCATCCTTCTTCGTAAATGTCTGTATCCATGTAGTTTTCCCATTCGTCTCTGGTCACCTTGACACGGTGTTGTCTCAGTCGGATGCCTGCGTTTATTATTTTACAATCGTAAAGCCCGTGCCATCCCCTTTCGTAATCTAAGGAATACATTCACATGATTTTACTGCAGCTAGTCAATATTGTAATGAAATTAGATAAGACAAAGATATAATTAGACTAAGCGCAATAAGGCTATAATAATTATAACATTTTAATTGTTTAATGTAGTGTTTGACATGATTCTACAATAAAATTAATTTACAAAATAATGAAATGGAGTCATTGAAATTCTAACTCATTACATACTGGTTGTATTTAAACAGATTTAAAAAATCTGCTATGAGTAAAGCTAAATATACATTCCTCTACGTACTTGGAATTTAATTTTTTTTTATAGGTATCCCTAAACCTTAAAAAAAGACTAAAAAAATTTCTATTTATACTTAACCTAAACTATTCATGGTTATGTTGTGATCTAACGGTATTCCATTGTAGTATTCCTTGATTTGTAACAGTTCTATCAACTTTCCAGATAAAATCACTTTCAACCTGTAATTATTTATTTTTTAGTAGGAAGGAGGTTTCCGTTTTCCTCCCAAAATAACCTTCGGTCGTTATTACTATATTCGTTTTCCGCCAAAAAAAAAAAAAAATAAAATTTGTTACATGATATATCTGGCTTAAGTTTTAGATTATAACAAAATAAATGTACATTCAGTATGTTTTTTAAAAAATAAATGTTTTAAATTCAATGCTTTAAAACAATAAAAGGGTTCTTAAAAAATATTAGCTGGCCAATTTTAATTTATTTTGGCGGAAAACGGTTATTGTGATAACGGTTAAGGGTCATTTTGACGGAAAATGGAGACGCCCATTTGAAAAAAATCCTATTTTGATATCATTACGTTTGGAGATCAAGATTAGGCGTCTTCAAGTAGTTCCGTATAAACGCTCTATGACTAGTATTGGCATATTGAGCACGAGAAGGAATGGTAAACGACTTTAAAGCAAATATACAACAAAGTGGAATGAGTATTAACAATAG